TAAGCCGTGTGGCGAGTAATGACCCACCTCCCAGCTTCCTGATTGGTCGGGAAGCCGGCGCCATGCCGACTGGCTAGGAGGCCAGCTTTCCAGCCAATCAGCATCGAGCCAGCCGAACAGCTGCCTCCTTGCTGATTGGCTGGTAACCTGGCTTCCCTGCAAATCAGCATCGAGCCGACTGAAAAGCCGGCATGATGCCGATTGGCTGGGAAGCTGGCTTTCCAGCCAATCAGCATGGAGCCAACTTCCTGAGCAATCAGGAAACCGGGTCATTACTTGCCGCCTAGCTTCCCGACTGGCCGGGAAGCCAGGTCGATGTTGATTGGCTGGGAAGCAGGTTTCCCGGCCAATCACAATTGAGCCGGCCAAAAAACATGGAGTCGGCATCCCGGACAATCAGGAAGCCGGGTGACATATCACCCACCGTGCAGCTTCCTGATTGCCCGGGAAGCCAGCTCCATGCCAGCGAAAGCACCAGTATTGGTACTCAGTATTGGCGAGTATCAAAAGCAAAAATATCGGTACTCATACTCCGTACCAAAAATAAAACCTGTATGGGTGCATCCCTAGTATGTATATTCATAGGAAAAATGTGATATATTGCAGCTTTCCAGTCCTTGGGTATGATGGACATGGCTGCCAATAGTGGGGCAGAGTCAGTCCTCCTGTAACAGGCCCTACTTGGTCAGCAAGGGGGCCCAAGTCAGCCGCTGATGGCTCCAGCATAACACCCCCTAGCCGGCAACCTTCTCCACAGTACCAGCAATACTGAGGATTCATCTCCTGGATTTCTTTAGTATAGTGCGCGGTAACCCTGCTGCTGCGAAGAGCCTTGTTCTGGCACTTCCTGGGGTTTCCCAATTGTGTTGTCACTCCGTCACATGACCTTGGTGGTGACTACAAGCAGCCGTGCATACACACACAGGCACAGTCCACTGTGGTCACTATCAGGAAGACGGTCCCGAGCAATGATGTGCCGATGACGACGCTGGAGCCAGTGCACATAGACAGGAAGTGACTGAAAGAGGCGGCAGGAGATCAGGACTGAGATGGGGAAAAAAAAGAAGGTGAGAAAAACAAGCAGTTCACTACCAAATGAAATGTCTGGTTATGGCTTACAGATACTTTGAGTCATAAAGCTGTTCAGGCAGCTTATTGATCTCATCCCAATTGCTGATCGGCTGATATAACCGCTATAAATCTACAACCTTCTATATCAAATAAAATGGACAACATGGAAGTGTGTTAGAATGCAAGTCACAGCTAGTTACTGCACGGGCCAATGCACTCGGTTACCCATTATAATTGTACCTGGAAACACGCCGACGCTCCCTCTGTATTAGAGGAATGATCAGCATTTAGTACATACGACCTTTGTTCTGCTCCTGGGACGCTCACTTCTACCACCCGCCACCCCCCACAGAACTCGCTGACCGAATCCTGCCGCTGCAGACTGGAGACAGCTGCCTGGTGTCATTGCAGGTCTAAGGCTCACCACGCACTTTACAATCTACCAACGTGCATGTAGTGCAAGGGCCTGCCAGATTGGATATGAACTGGTTGGATAGATTAGGCTGGCCCTCATATTACATAGTTTTGGTAAATCTAAAGTTGATTGTACAGTCAGATTCATGTATGTATGTATGCATGCATGCAGTCCGATGTATGCATGCAGTCCGATGCATGCATGCCGTCCGACTTATGCATGCATGCAGTCCGATGTATGCATGTAAGCAAGCATGGTGACCCTAAGGCCTCATTCACACACAACGCAAGCAAAATTGTATATTGCGTATACACTATATGCAATCGCAGACTGCATCACTCGTAATGGAATTTTTTATGTGCTGTACGTATGTACGTGCATAAAAACACACGTATGTGAAGAAATACACTGCCCGGACGCATCTGTTCCATTCTGTTCTTTGCGCATATATATACGCTACGCAAATATACGGCTCCATACGCGGCTATGTGTATGGAGCCATTTATTTGCATATGGTACAATAGGCACGTACACGCAACAGTGTGAATGAGGCCTAAAGGAGATTGTACAATCAAACTGCAATGTGTCTAGGAAGCTAAAAGCTGCAAAATGACTAAGGGCCGGTTCACACTATAGCATTGTATGGGGCGGTACCCGTTAGGTGCACTGATGCTTGCGTTGCCATTCAGGATGGCAGTCCAGCGCACCTCCCATTGTGCGTGCATCCATGCACTATTTTCTTCTTTGCATGGCAACGTACACTATCGCAGTACTGTGGCCATATCAATTGATAGAGGAAATACACCTTTCAAACGCACGTTCAAAAATGCAGCTAATGCACATAAAAACATGCCAATGCATGTAAACACAGATGTGTTTTTTTTTACCTGCATAGTGTGAATGGGCAATAAAAATGCGTGTGCATGTAACATGCGCTTTCATGTTCAGCGAGGGAAACTTTTCTAAAGTGCAGGAGACAGAATCTGGAGCAGTTGCCCATAGCAACCAATCAGCTTCTAGCTTTTATTTTCAAAGCCTAAATGAATGAACAAACAGAAGGGAGAAGCTGATTGGTTGCCACGGACGACTATTGAAGACTCCGTCTGCCCAGTTCGGATAAATTGTGTGTGGGGGGTGTGTGTGTGTGGGGTGTGTGTGTGTGGGGGGGGTGTGTGTTTTAATGTCGTCAAGCAGTTTTCTTTCCTGGAAAGGTGAAACGATTTAAATTATACATAGATTATTTTCCTTTACTGTGCGTTGTGTTTACATGCATTAGTTGAATTCAAATGCATTTTTATGCAACTCACCTCAGTGTTGTGGTGTAAACAAGGCACATAGCGAACCCTTGTATTCTATGTGACCTTGGATTGATCTGGTGCAGAATAACGCAGGTCACCACACATGGTGTGAATGAGCTCTTAAACAAAACTCTAAAACACTGTGCAAATCATGCTTTGCAGTGATTTAAATGCATGCTAATTATTATCGTTATTTTAAAAAAATACTACAAAATATATTCAACAGTCTTAATCTCCAATTGCTGTGACAACATTCCCCAACCTGCAACAGGCTACTAAGGCATGCTGAGTCTTGTGGTTCCACAACAGCCAGGCTGGCAATAGTCTGCACATAACATCAGCCATTTTCAGTGACATTTCTATAACAAAAAAGTGAGAGATTTCCATACAGACAGAATGCAGACCACGCAGCTCCTCTCTCTCCTACTCACCAGATTCAGCTCTGATCCGGCAGTAGTGGTAACAGCTGCTCTTTTACCTGTCAGCAGTAGCACACTAGGGGGTGTGTCAGTGCCCGTGAGCACAGCGGCCGCCATTTTTAGTGTGGGCAAATAAAAGTGTTTGTTGTTGAAAGTTGTGTTAGTCGACCTGCAGCGGGCGGCTAATAGAGTATACTGGTAGTTGTGATTACCACCACAGCTGTAAGGTTGGAAGTTGCTTCTGCAAGTCTGGAGCCTCACTGGGCTTGCCAGAAGTAAATATGGCGGCTTCTCATGCTGATACGCAGGAGGATGTTTGTCCCCTTTCTCTCACATTACAAAGCATGGAGGTTTCCTGACAGCGTGCAGACTGATCAGCCTGAGAGTAGGACGACCCGGGGAATCTGTGTACAGAAGAGTGGAGTGAAGAAGAGCTTCCATAATGGCACATGGAGCTGCTTGGGGATTAAATTAATAAACTGTTTTTCCACATGAAACATCAGAGGAACCTACAGCCTGGAGACCTAGAGATGTAATGCTCTGCTGAGCTGGTAGACTTCTAGATTCAGCGATCATCCTGCCTGGGGAACCTCTAGACCCAGACCCTTACCTTACCCTACTGACCTGTAGACTTGAAGACCTTCCATTCTGGTGAGACTACAGACCCAGAGTCCACCCCCATCTGGTGACCCACAGACATAGGGATCCTCTACTCTGCTGATCTAGCAGACCCAGAGAGCCTTCTACCTAGGGAACCTCTAGACCCAGACCTTTACCTTACCCTGTTGACTGATAGACTTGACCCTCCTTTCTGGTGAGACTATAGACCCAGAGTGCACCCCACTCTGGTGACCCGCAGACCCTGGGATCCTCTACTCTGCTGATCTATAAGACCCAGAGATCCTACAGTCTGGGGGACCTCGAAACCCAGACCCCTACCCTATTGACCTATATACTGGAAGACCCTCCATTCTGGTGAGATTACAGAGCCAGAGTCCACCCCCGTTTGGTGACCAACAGATCAAGCATCCCGTACTCTGTTGATCTGCTAGACCCAGAGATCCTACAGCCTAAGGAACCCAAATGTGGAGACCCCTCATCCCACCTTACCCTGTGGAGCTTCAGACCTAGTGATCCCCTGCTTTGTTAAATCTCCAGAGACCACCTCTGTCTGGTGACCTGCAGACCCTTTGTTCAGACACAAAGATGACCCACTAAATCTTCATCTAACTGCAGCCTAGTTAACTTCCAGATACCTCCCTAGGATTAGTGACCCTCAGATCTAGAGATCCTGCCTAGTAAACCTTCAGACCCAGAGACCACCCCCAGACTTTGACCCTCAGATCCAGAGAATCTGCAGCTTGTGGAACCTACAGTCTCACAGAACCCCCTGTCTAATCCTTGGGACCTTCAGATCTAGATGGCTAAACTCGAGACCTGGTGACTCTCGTATATAGAGTATCCCCACTTTATTAAACCTCTAGACCTAGAAACCACCCCACAGACTAGTGAAACTTTAGACCCAGAGATCTTCAAGCTTTCTGAACCTCCTAGGAGCCCTGTTCAACTTGGTGGACTCTTAGATCCATAGAGCATTCCTAATCTGGTGACTTATCAGACAGGCTCTCTCCAGCAAGCTGAACACTCAGAACCAAAATCCCTGGACCCTGAGGACATCTTCAGTATTACAACCCTATTCAATTCAGCTTGGTGATCCATTTAACCCCATAAATCAATTTTAGAGTCATGAACCAGATGCTTTATTCTTTCTGATGAACCTACACACCGAGGTGTCCTCTTAAGCCTAGTGAACCCCCAGACTCTGAATCTTATTTGGCCCAGTAAGACTCAAAGTCTTGAGAGCCCTCTAAAACTTGGTGGAGCCCCAACTCCAAGAGCAGTTTTCAGATTAGAGAGGTTTGACACATGGAGGACCATTGTAATCTTACCAAAACCCAAACTAGTTGCAGCACCATGGAAACAGAGTCTACTACCAGCAGTCAACAGTGCCAGAACCAGAGCGGCTCCAGCAGTCTGGTGAACCCAAAGACGCTCTCCAACTCAAAAAAGCAGCAAACGCTTCCCTCCATTGGGCCTTTCGCTCACTGGAAACTCCAAGCCTCCCTCAAAATAGACCTCAGTAAGAAAGGCAGTGTGGACAAAGACATTGAGGAGATTGTGCGTCATATTAACCTCCAGGACTGTTATTTCACCACCAGCTCCTGCTCTGGCAGGATTATAATCATTGATGAGGTGAGAGTTCAATGATGGGGCCTTGAGGGACATCTATAGCAAATTATTTAATTTTTTTCATGCAACACGCCAAAGTAAACGCAGCCTTCTAAATTTCCCAATAAACTACCTTTCCCTAAATCTCTGCCAAATCAATGGGCAGCACAGTGGCGTAGTGGTTAGCGCTTCTGCCTTGTAGCACTGGGGGTCCCTGGTTTGAATCACAGCCAGGCCACTATCTACAAGGAGTTTGCATGTTTGTCTTGTGCTTGTGTGGGAGACGCACAGAATTACGACATTTTACCGTAAAAATGTAAAGGATGTAATATCCCTTTGCCTCGGTCAGCTTGTGTATGCAGAATCAGCTAAATGGGTATCGGGTTTTTTCCAGAAATATAGTTCAATTTATACTCCAGAATATTCCATCTGCTGGACCTTTGTTCACCTGTCATACAGATAATCAGGCTGTGCTGTTAATGCTTCACTATGTTGTCCTCAAACACCCTGCTGCCTAAAGACCAACATGTGAAATGATCTACCGCCTGCACTCTGCTATAGGATAAGGTGGCAGTCAGACTTTCATAGCGCCTCGGCAGTCTGTACATCCTGTTTGTGCCTAAAATTTCTGTTTTCTAATGAAGTATTTTTACACATGTATCTTCTCCTTCCTCTCAGAATCCTAATCACTCAATAGTGCAAAAGGAGAACTGCTTGTGGCTGTTCGTGACCCATGACCTCTGTAGTATAGATGATGTGGTGAGTACATGCAGTGCACGGCTGTTTATTTATTACAGGTATTTACATTTTGTCTTCTCATTATATGACTATTGCTGCCAATGAGAAGAAATGTTTGGTAACGGCAGCTTGAAGATAAATGTACCCAAATCTGATATTTTACTTCATGGTAGATCTTGAGGAACCTTTTCAGGTTGGCTGTTATCTGTTCCAGCCATGGCTTCCATACAACGCTAGAGGCTGCTACTGTATCCCAGCTCCTGAAAGCAGTGCTGATTCCAGGTCAGGTATGTCACTATGAGGCTGATCTATAAAACTTCTGCCCAGCGTATAGCTGGTAGAATGCCGTTCGAACGGTGTTAGAATATGGAGAGGGTTAGTAAAACTTGGAAAGGGAATCCATCAGGATGGAGGTTATTTGGCACAGTCAAGGTGACCATCCAATACCTGAATCTGCTACCTCAGGGAACAACATGAGAGAACACCTTTGCAGCATGACACATAGGGGTTGATGTATAAAACTTCTGCTCACGTATAGCTGGTTGAATGCTGTTAACACGGCACTACTACCACTAGATATAGCCGAAGAAAATAGGAATTTCCTCTGCTCCATTTAGTGGCAGTAATCCATGAGAATGTCAATCGACCAGCTATACATTGGCCCCTATGTGTGATGCTGTGGAGGTGTCCTCCAATGTTCTTCCCTGAAATAGCAGATTCAGGTTTTGGATGGTCACCTTGACTGTGAGTAGTAACCTCCATCTTGATGGATTCCCTTTCTAGGTTTTACTAACCCTCTCTGACCATCCAAAACCTGAACCTGCTATCTCAGGGAAGAGCATTGGAGGAGACCTCCACAGCATCACACATAGGGGCTGAAGTATACAAATTCCACCCAACATATAGCTGGTCGAATCTCATTCCCATGGATTACTGCCACTAAATGGTGCAGAGGAAATTCCTATTTTCTTTGGCTATATCTAGTGGCAGTATAGATAGTGGCAGAACCTCCATCCTGATGCATTTCCTTTCCAAGTTTTACTAACCCTCGGCATACTCTAGCACCATTCCTGGCTCCCTTCTCGGTACAGCAATAGAAGTCCTCTTCAGGCAGAACAACAGTCATGTAATTCTGCCCATTCCCTTTGAGCCCAGCCTGTCGTTTACACCCTCACCCCAGGGGGGCTCACAGTACTCCAGAACTGAGCGGTGCTGAGCAGGAGGAAGCTCCTGTGATACTTGCAGAACAGTTAGAAGACTACAGAAAGGAGGTATGTGTAGGGTTTGTAAAGTGTAGTGTGTGTTGTAAAGTAGTCACCCTACAAGCTCACTCCTGTGATGGACTACAATATCATGTTTAGTGGTGACTACTTTACAACACACACAAGGACCATGGGGAACAAAAGTAGCCACCCTCCAGAAGGAAGGACAGTGTCAGCACCAATTCAGGGATGATTTGAGGATCTACAGCCGAGTGATACACAAATAAGATACATTTTTGTTAATAGTTAAGGTACTTTAATGTATATTTAAGATTTAATGCCTGAGTTTAGATTAAGGTATAGAAAATGCTTGGGGTGGGGGAGACACAATCCTGGAGTTCCACCTTAATCCAGACAGATGTTCTAACCCTTTCTACTCTATACAAACCAATAAGACATCTCTGGTTTTGGCTTTATCTTAGGAAAATTAATTTGATTAATGAAATGAACTTCCACCCCCCGGGATTAGTTCAGAGTGAGCGGCTCAATTCATCGACATATCTAATTGTCCTTTCCCATTATTGTTTTCATTCTCATTGATGCCTCTAGGTTGCAGCTCTTCAGAAAACTTCAGGAGATGCAGTGCTGAAGTTCGAACCCTTCGTCATGCACGTCCAGTGTCGCACATTAGAGGACGCACAACTTCTGGTAAGACTTATAGGGCTAGTTTAACTCGTATTGACCATCAGATTCCTTGTTTCGTTTTCCAGTGTGAGAAAAGAATTATAAATAATATAAAATAATATGAATATTAATCGTGAGGTCCTGTAACGTTCTAGGAAGTGATCAGTGAGGGCCCAGTCACTCCATATCCAGTGCATTCCGGTGCGGTTTGAGCCAGGAACGCACTGGATCGCATAGATCAAGCAGGGCAGCGTTCTGGGGCTGGAGGGGGCATGTCGGTGTCATTCATGTCAATTATTATACAGGATTTATATAGCGCCAACAGTTTGCGCTGCGCTTTATGTCAGTGGCACAGCAGACACAGCCCTCGCCCACGGTTCGCTCGCCTGCACCGGAACGCAAGGTACTGGAATGCCCTCCTTTCCAGTGCAGTGCGATTGTAAAAAATAGTGAATGCAGCATTTTTTCCAATTGCATTGCACTGAAGGACATTCCTGTACCTCGCGTTCCAGTGCGGGCGATCGCACCGTGGGTGTGTCTGCTGTACCATTGACATGAATGACCCCAACACACCCCCTCCCGCCCCAGAACGCTGCCTTGCTTGATCTATCCGGTCCAGTGCGTTCCGGGTTCGAACCGCAACAGAATGCACTGCATATGGTGTGACCGGGCCCTTAAAGATGAGTAGTTGCGTATAAAAAGGTTGTATGTGTCCCCTTTTCAAAGCACAGGCAAATCCAGTAAATAACACAAATGATTGACTGTATAACTCTGATTACCAAGTCTTAGTGCTTAAAGTTGAACTTTTGTCCTTCTCTTCAGTGTTGCACAGTTGTACCCACTCCTCTCCTGGACTGAATTTGCTTGCTCCGATCCAGTTTCAGGACATAGAAAGGGCTGACAGGTTCACTTTTGTAGGTCTCATTGTTAACACTTTGTTTCCGGTCTCTTTCAGCACAGTGTAGCCATAAACTCAGCATTCCGGAATTCCGGCATCACTGTAGGAAAGAAGGGTAAAATCATAATGGTAAGGGTTTCTCCCTTCTGTGAAAATATATGCAGTATGTAAAAGTATATTTATATCTTTGTTTGATCTGTTTGTACCCCAGATACAGGCCTTGCATATACCCTGATCAGCCATAACATTATGACCACCCCCCCCTAATATTGATACGGTCCCCCTTTTGCCACCAGAATAGCCCTGACCCATCAAGGCATGGACTCCACTAGACTTCTGAAGGTACGCTGTGGTATCTGGCATCCTTTTAAGTCCTGTAAGTTGTGAGGTGCGGCCTCCATGGATCGGACTTGTTTTTCCAGCACATCCCACAGAAGCTCTATTGGATTGAGATCTGAAGAATTTGAGGGCTAAATCAACGTTATTGTGTTCCTCAAACCATTCTTGAACCATTTTTGCAGTGTGACAGGGTGCATTATCTTGCTGAAATAGGTCACTGCCATCAGGGAATTCCGCTTCCATGAAGGGGTCTACTTGGTCAGCAACAATGTTTAGGTCGGTGGTACATGTCATTGTAACATCCACATGAATGGCAGGACCCAAAGTTTCCCAGCAGAACATTGCCCGAAGCATCACATTTCCTCCGCCGGCTTGTCTTCTTCCCAGCGCTCACAATGTTATGGCTGATCAGTGGACATGTCCTTAAAAACATAAGTGTACTCTTAACATGCAAATGAGTTATTAAAGATGTAATTTAACCTGGAGGATTTTTATAGTATAAAGGTATTTGCTTCCTTGCCTGAAAATGTCATCCATTTCTTTTAGAAGTGTGTTTTATCCCCCACACAGGTCCCTCATACCTTCTCTGTATGCTGCCCTCCTTTTTGTGCGACCGAGCGCTGCTTGTTTCTCCTGTGGACTAACTGCTCCCAGTCACATATCCTCCCCATTGTAGTTTGCAGAAGGTGAAGGGCGTGTGATTACACCATGCTTCCTTCTGCGTGCACGTACGATCGGCTAGGCAACCCGTTGTGACCAACCTACATCCATTGATTAGCTGCTATTCTAATAACTCTGCCTGATTAACGCCATGGTGATGACAAGACCGAAACTGGTGTGTGGGACCATGGAGGAACCTAAAATTTACGCTTTAGGTCTTAGATCTTCCTCTTCATCAATGGTGGAAGGAGGGAGGGGGGAGAGTTTAGCATAAAATGTATAATATTTTTACCTGCCCGGTGTTGGCTTAAAACAGCATTGGATCTTTTTGTTTCCTAGACACATATACTTGTTTGAAGTTCTTCTTTGTTGCTTCCTATGATATTGACCAGACGGTTTGTTATCATGTATTTCTAGGCGGTACGGAGTACTCACTGCCTGGAGGTACCACTGAGTCACAAGGGGAAGTGTTTAGTTAGCAACGAATATATTGAATACTTGGTGCAGACGGCAAACCAAAAAATGGAAGAGAACAAGACAAGGATCGCCCGGTTTGTAAAATCCTCTCGCTTCAGATTTTAGTAGAACATCGCCATGCTGGAAAGGGAAACGCCACTTCTTGTAATGTTTTTGTCATATTGTATATTGCATCTTCAATATACATCTTCATTAGGGATGCACCGATACTGGTATTGGTGCTGATTCCGAGTATTTGGGCGAGTACTCGCTGCCCGGTCATTACTCACTGCCTGGCTTCCTGATTGGCTGGCAAGCCAGCCCCATGCTGATTTGCCGGGAAGCCGTTTTTTGCCGGGAATCACAAACAACATGGAGCCGGCTTCCCGGCAATCAGGAAGCCTGCGGGCATGTCATTACCCGCCGACCGGCTCCCTGATTGCCCACGAAGCCGGCTCCATGGCAGCGGAAGCACCAGTATCGGTACTCGGTATGGGCGAGTACCGAAAGCAAAATATCAGTACTCGTACTCAATACCGAAAAAAACGGTATCGGTGCATCCCTAATCTTCATTATTGTGTATAGCTATATAGTATGTATCTTCAGAAGGGGCTTGGCAGTGGTCCCTTGCAATTGAGATCATAGTGCAGAATGCTTGAAATACTCACTTTATAGCAATAAACTCTCATTCTTTCTTACAATAATAATATCAGATGAAACAAATATATATTGCCCGGCAAAGTATTTCTTACACTCATCATGTTTCCAAACAGCTGGCTCCAACTCTCTAAGCTCTGATTCCCTGAACTTCCTGTCTAGTACAAGATTACAAGGACAGAGAAATCTTCAGCAGCCGTCTACAAGCCCGGAGAAGTGAAGAGGGAGGGAGGAGGACAGGAGAGCAGTGGGGAGGGGAGTGACTTGCTTTGCTTTGTCTGTGTGTTTGTGGAGACACACACAGCTTACTAGCACGCACAAAAGGGGCTCCATAGGACCCTGCAGGGTAAAGGAGCCACTTTAAACAGAATATCAGGACCAACTGATTCTGCAGGCAGTTAAAACTTTTGAACATCAGGGAGCAGCAAGTGATTTTCATCAGTATTTGAAATTGCTTAAAGGAGAACTATGGGGTCAGGGCTTTTCCTCATAGTTCTCCTAATGGTAATGGGAGGACACAAACTAGCGTTCTCCCGTCAACCTAAGCTCAGTATACCGCAAGCTACAGCTCATTATATACTGAGACGCCGCAGCCGGAACGGATCCCGACAATTATGTCTGGATCCACCCAGCTGCGTGAGTGAGCTCTGCCTATCTCGAGGCAGAGCCAGCTGTACCCGCCCCGTCCGTTCCGCCAGTCAGCACTGGAGGGACGGACAGGGGAGGGGAGAATCCAGTCACTCCCCTGTCACGGCTCTCTGCAGTGACAGGATCGAGAAGTGAGCGAACACCGGTATGTGTTTGCTCACTTCCCGATCTACTGAGCCGACCTGTGACAGTCTCATTGTCACAGGTCGGCTCAGATTATGAGGCCGAGTGAAAAGCACTCACCTCATAGTTCTCCTTTAAACACATTTTGACTTTACTATCACTTGATGGGTCCTATCTTTTACTGTTTGTCTTCCTATTCCTGCAGGTTCTTTAGCTGCCTCCAGACTGCTCTACAGAAAAGAGATGGCATGAGTGACAAAGACCACAAGGGAAGGACGGACAGTTCAGTGTACACTCGCCGGAGGAGAAGACAGGAAGTAGCTGAGGCAGCAGATGACAGTCTCAGTGAATCCCCTGATGACCCAGAGACCGGCATCTCATTCCTACACGATAAAGACTAAGGCAATGGACAGATGAGACCAACTACTGGATAATGTTTCTAAATGAGGACTTCACTTTATCACTATATCCCTTTACACACCTCCTGATAAAGAACAACACGTGCTGTGTCCCAGATACTTCTATAGACAAACTGATTCAGATCCTTCAAAATCCTGACTACTTGATACAAGTGCCTGAATACCTCTGATCCCTCTGCACTGGTCCATGGGTCATGTTTTAGACAGTGAGGGTTTTGCTCTGTACATACCCTGAAAGGGAAAATTATAAACTTACCTTTTTTATAAATGGTTCCTGGTTTACATCATCTTGAATTTCTAGTTGTGTTAGACAAAGGCTGTCTGTCTGAGGATGGTTTAGGTCACCTAGGTCTTTTGCCTTCTGCAACCATTTCTGAGTGACCTTTACTGATTATGTATATAGCTGCATCCAGCTTTCCCCTAACCCGTTTGCTTTCATGGAAGAGTATCTTGCACCAGTTTGCCATGAAGGTTGAGCCACCTGTCCACCAGGGTTTTAAACAGAAGTCCCTCTGACCCATCATTCAATACAATTAAAGTGACATTAAACCCTCAGATTTTTTAACATAAACCAATACTGTAATGTGTGCCTTACTGTAATCCATGGTAGTTTCCCTTCTCTTTGCTGCTCTTCCTTTTAAATCCGTATCTCTTCTCATGCTGGGCAGAACTTCTGTTTTGCAGCAAACTGCCTTGTCTCTGTAATGGATACATTGGGGTTGATTTACTAACCTTATAAACACACCACGAACATGTATACACCTCTGTAGTGTGTTCCCTCCCAGCATGATCTATGGGTGGAATCTAAACACCTTTGTAGTGTGTACACACCTAGCAGGTGTGCTGTGCTTAGCCTTGCATGAATTGCAAGGTGATGTTGTGTAAATTAGCTCTATGTTGTGTTGCTTGCGTTGATGAATGCAGGAATGTACAAGCATGAGCTAACCATTTTTGTCTAAACTGTGAAGCAGCATTATATATGCATCATGTGCATGATTTTTCCATATATGGCATTAGTGGAAATATGCTTTTAGAGACTTTTTGGTTGATAAATATGTTTTGCTGTGTAAAAATCACACGCATCTAGTGCGTACGTGTGTTTAGGTTAGTAAATCACCCCCATGGTGTCTGTGTGTAGGTTCACAACCTGAGCCAACACTACAGGAAGAGGCACTCAGCTGAAAAGGGAAGTTCTCCCCCAGCATGAGAAGACATGAGGATTTAAAAGGAAGAGCAGCAAAGAGAAGGGAAACAACCATGGATTACAATAAGGCACACATTACACTATTGTTTTATGTTAAAAAATCTGAGGGTTTAATGTCACTTTAAGCTCTAGCTGAATTATCTAATGGCCGTCTCTTATAAAACACTCCTGATTGATTTCCCAGACCGAACAAAACACTTTAAAGCTGAATTCCAGGCAAATCGCTATATACAAATATATAATAGATATAAGGGAGCTGTTTTACCTGCCAAAAGATTTGTATTTCTGTCTGTCCATTCCTGAGACTAATATCCCTACCACACACATGCACACACATACCCACTAGGCCCAATTTGCACCCTTTGTTTTTTAATTTTGTAATGCAGCCAGGTGGCATGCACAGTAATAGATATGGGACTCTTCATTTTTAATAACTGCTTAGAGCTGCACCAAGGGATCAAATACCCCGTGCTGGCAGCTGCCTCATCCATATTTTGTTATTGGGCCCCATGAATCGTGGTTACACCCCTGCGGCTACCAAATCTAAGGACTGGTAAGCTGCAATATTTTACATTTTTGTTCTTCAGTTTATTTGTCCTATAAATAACACAGTGTCACTTGAAAAGTTGTGTGTACCTTATTCTCTTCTGGTGAAGGCACAAGAACATCCTTAAAGAGTCTAAATACTTCTGGCTGCCAAAGTAATGCCCAATTATCTGCATAACGAGGCCATGCTGGGCTTTCTCTGAAACACCAAAATAGTCATGATCATTGTATGACAGTAGAAGTGTGTCTGAGTGCTCGAAGAAGCTGCAGAGATACACCATGGATGATGGAGATCTGCATATAAGGAAAGGTATGTAACTGGCTGTTATGTTGATCTTCTGGCTTCAGCACTTTGGGTCACTGATCTAGAACAAGCACGTAGCCAAGGACTTCTGATTTTCCCAATCTGCATACTTCCAGGTCAGAAGTATGGAAGCCAGAGGGTCAGCAAAGGTAGCCCCATATTCTTTTCATGACGTGCACTTTTAGTTTCGCCAGCTGCAGTGCAACTAGAAGCCCCAAGATTAATAGGTCATGGTGGTGTGTGTTCACAACAAAACACAATGACACAAGTTAATAAACGCTACAACATTTCTCTATAATCTGTCCAGTGACGATGATAAAACATCTTGTATAAAGAGCATGATGCAGATACTACATGCACAGGCTCCATCA